GCTCCTACCTCCAGTGGTGATATTAAGTAGCAAATGACTTGTGAGGTACTGTGCTGTCCAGCTTTGGAGTAGGGTCTTGGGGGGACCCTACTGTGGCAGGAAGTATGTCTGGTTGTTGGGGGAACACTTAAAGTGGTGGTGTTTGGAGGATGGGGGCTCAGAAATACCAAATCTTTACCACCTGGGGTATAGAAGTATTTCAGTATTTCCAGTACCATCAGTGTTGATGGTACATTTGCTTCAACACCTGTTTGAGAGACTCTTGACTAATTCCAATGAGGTATTTTAAGCACTATCAGAGCAATTTAATTAGTTTCCCCACTGATACTATTAAAATGTTCCTAATTCACAAAGTGAAGAATATGTGTCATTTCTTTGGTGGTTGGAGCTCAGAAAATAGTACTATATAACATCTTTATTATATTCACCTCAAAATAGGAAACATTCACTCATTGATTCATTGAACAAATACTTTTTGAGCACCTGCTATGCTGTTTCAATGCAAAGGATATAGCAGAGAACAAAACAGATAAAGTCTCTGTTTTCACAGAGTTTGTATTCTGGTAGAGGGGATAGATCATAAACAAATAAATACATAATGGCCCAGGACAAGTACTATAAAGAAAAGTAAAGTAGGGCAAGGGAGATAAAAGCGTGGGGCTAATGTACAGGCATTTTATATAACATAGTCAGGGAAGACCACCTCCACAAGACAGCATTTGTGATGACATCTGAAGGAAGTAAGCCATATGAGTGCCTGGGGTAAAAGTATTCTTTGTGGAAAGGATTGTAAGTGCCAAAGTCCTGCTTGGCATACTCAAGGAGGATCAGGGAACTCCTTTGGCTGTATCAAGGGAGATGGGGAAAGCAGAAGAAAATGAGGTCAGAGAAGGAAGAGAAGGTAGAGGGCAGGCAGAGCATGTTAGGCCTACTAGCCATGCCATTTCTCGTAAGAATTTTTAGTTTTACTCTGAGAGAAATGGGAAGTTATTAAAAGTCATTTTGAGGAGAGGAGTGATATTATATTACTTATTTTTAAAAAGGTCTCTCTGACTGCTGTGTAGAAAACAGATTGAGGCAAAGGCAAGGAGATTGGTTGAGAAGCTGGTATAATACTCCAACCAAGAGAAGATGGCGGCTTGAACCAGAGCAGTGATAGTGGAAATGGCAGCAAGGGGTCAGATCTTGGATATATTTTAAAAGTAGAGCCACTAGGGTTTGCTAAGGGATTAGAAGTGAGATGTGAGAGAAAGATAAAAGTCAAGGATGACTCCAAGTGCACAGAAAACTAATGAAATATTTTCTGACCCCCCAAGCAGAATCAATTGTGTCTCTATATTTCTTTTTTTTAAGTTTATTTAGAGAGAGAGAGAGAGGCCCTTGCCTGTATATTTCTATCACATGATTTTGAAATGGTTTGTTTATGTGTCTGATTCCTTACTAGACTTTGAGCTTCTGAAGGGCACAACTTGGATCTTACTGATGAATGATGACATTTTATTATCCCTGGAGGTGGAGAAGAAAGTGGAGATTGGAGGGTAGCATCCATTGCAGGAAAAAAATGGAAAGTGCATGAATGGAAGTGGAGAGCACCAGCTGGGGAACCTGGCCCGTTAGGGTTTGATTTTGTGGCTCCATCACTTGATGTTTTGGGACTTTGGGCAAGTTACATCAACTCCTTCAGCCTTAGATTCTTTAAAATGGGAATAATAATAATAATAATAATAATAATAATATCCACCTCATAAGGTTGTTGTGAAAAAGAAAGAAACTCTGTACTCATTAGTAATTACTTCCCATTTTCCCCTGTCCAGCCCCTGGTAACTATGAATCTACTTACTCTCTCTACAGATTCATCCATTCTGGATATTTTATATCAATGGTATTATACAATATGTGGCTTTTTGTGACTGACTTCTTTCATTTAGCATAGTGTTTTCAAGTCTCATCCATTTTGTAGCATGTTTTAGTACTTAATTTATTTTGTGGCTGAGTGATAATTTCACTAAATGTATATACCACAGGGGCACCTGGGTGACTCAGTGGTTGAGTGTCTGACTCTTGATTTCAGCTCAGGTCATGATCCCAGTGTCATGGAATCGAGCCCCACATCTCTCTCTCTCTCTCTCTCTCCCTCTCTCTCTCTCTCTCTCTCCCTTTGCCCTTCTCCCCCCATATGCACTTTCTCTCTAAAATAAAAAAATATATATATGCATTTGTTTATCCAACTACTAACTTATGGAAATTTGAGTTGTTTACACTTTATGGTTAGTATAAATAGTGTAACTATGAACATTCATATACAAGTTTTTGTGTGGGTGTATGTTTTCATTTTTCCTGGGTGTATATTTAGGGTTGGAATTTTTGGGTCATATGGTAACTCTATGTTTAACATTTTGATGAACTGGTAAACTGTTGGGTATTTTTTGTTTTGTTTTGGTTTGTTTTGTTTTATTTATTTATTTTGAGAGAGAGAAAGAGAGAACAAATTGGGGAGGGGAAGAAAGAGAGAGAGAGAGAATCCCAAGCAGGCTCTGCACTCTCAGCACAGAGTCTGACATGGGTCTCAAACCTACAAACCATGAGATCATGATCTGAGCCGAAATCACAAGTTGGACGCTTAACTGACTGAGGCGTCCAGGTGACCCTGGTAAATTGTTTTTCAAAACAGTTATCCTGTTTTACAATCCCACCTGCAATACATGAGGCTTCAAATTTCTCCACATCCTCACCAACACTTGTTATTATCTATCTTTTTATTTTAGCCATTCTAGTGATTATGAAGTGTTCTCTCACTGTGGTTTTGATTTGTATTTTCCCAATGACTTATGATGAACATTTACTCATGTGTTTATTGCTCATTTGTATATCTTCTTTGGAGAAATGTCTATTCATTTCCTTTACTAATTTTTAAATAGGCTATTAGTCTTTTTATTGAGTTGTAAGAATTTATATATTTTAGATATACATTCCTCATCACATCTCTAATTTGAAAATATTTTCTTCCATTCCATGGTTTGTCTTTTCACTTTCTTGATGATCTCTGAAGCACAAAATTTTCAGTTTTGATGAAGTACAATTTTGTTTCATTTGTTTGTTGTTTGCACTTGTGCTTTTGGTGTCATGTCTAAAGAGCTGTTGCCTAATCCAAGGTCACAAGGATTTACTACCATATTTTTTCTCAGAGTTTTATAGTTTTAGCTTGTACATTTAGATCTATGACCCATTTTATCACTTCTTGGCATTTTGGCTAAGATCAAATGTAAGTCTATGATCCATTTTGAGTTAGTATTTGTATATGGTGTGAGGTAGGGATCCAATTTCATTCTATTATATGTGGATATCCAGTTGTCCCAGCACCATTTGTTGAAAAGACATTTTTTTTCCCCAATTTAATGATCTTGGTAGATGACTGTAAATTTGAGGGTTTATTTCTGGACTCTCAATATCCCATTTATTTATGTTTAGTCTAATGCCAGTACCACACTGTTTTTATTAGAGTAGTTGTATAAAAGTTTTAAATTGGGAGTGTGAATTCTTCCAACTTTATTTTTATTTTTCAAGATTATTTTGGTTATTCTGGGTCCCTTGCATGTACATATGGATTTGTTAGGATGAGCTTGTCAATTTTTGCAAAAAGAGGCAGCTGGGATTTTGATAGAGATTGTATTAAATCTATAGAGCAGTTTGGAGAGTATTACCATCTTAGCAATGTTAGGTCCTCTGATCCATGAATATTGATGTCTTTCTATTTATTTAGATATTTAATTTCTTTCAACAGTATTTTATAGTTTTCAACATATAAATCTTCCACTTCTTTTGTTACCATTTTTTCTAAGTATTTTATTCTTTTGGATGCCATTGTAAATGGAATTCCTTAATTTCATTTTTCAGATTGCTCACTGCTACTGTATAGAAGCACAATTGATTTTTGTGTATTGATCTTACATACTGTTCTATAGAAAGTTTTAACTTCAGGGGCACCCGATGGCTCAGTTGGTTAGGCATCTTACTCTTGATTTCAGTTTGGGTCATGATCTCATGGTTTGTGAGTTCGAGCCCTGCATCTGGCTCTGCACTAACAGTGCAGAGCCTGCTTGGGATTCTTTCTCTCTTATTTTCTCTGACCCTCCCCCACTCACACTGTCTCTCTCTCTCTCAAAAAAAAGGTGCTGCAATGGAAATAATCCAGCTCCACTAAAAAGAGAGAGAGAGAGAGAGAGAGAGAGAGAGAAGTTTTAACTTCATTGAGGAGCAGAAGAGACATTGCAAGTGTTTCCAAAAGGGACACGAATGGTTTCTATTGTTTGCCATCTGGTCAAATAGATCATTGACAAAGCTACCACTTATCAACTACCTACCATTTTATGTCTTGTGCTTAAAACTTCCCAATATCTTCTTATTGCTCTTACAACAAAAAACCAGACCAGAATCCTTAGGCCTCTAAAGTCCTGGATGATCAGGCCCTTGTCTAGTCCATAGCCCCATTCTTCATTGTTCTTTCCAGCCCTGTGTCCTCCAGCCATATTGGCATCCTCTACTTTTTCTAAATCACCATGCTCTTTCCTGCCTTAGAGTCTTCATTTACACTGTTCCTCTAGCCTGATCACTGCCCTTCCTCATAACTACCACTAGAAAAGGTAGTTTTCTTCCTAGTAGATAAAATTGTAATTTTGAAAATGTTTATAAATGTCAGTCCCACTAAATAGTTCATGTATACTGTTCACACTTGTGTCATTAGCACCTGTAACAGCATCTGGCACATCACTGGAGCTCAGTAAAAGGAGTGGCTAAATTGTGAGTCAGACATTTTACATACATGATCTCACTTGTCCTTATGATTCACTTCACAAGAGGAAACTAAAGCTTGAAAAGGTGAACTGGCTCAAGGTCACACAGTGAGTAAAAAACAGAGACATACTCCAGTGAGATCAGTTTGCTTGGGAGTTTAAAATAACTCCTCCAGGAAAGAAGTGCTCATCTTTTGATTTGCTTTCCAGTGGAGACTTTTCAGAAACTGCAGAAGGCAAAGGAAATTCTCACTAATACAGAGAGTCGTGCCCGGTATGACCATTGGCGAAGGAGCCAGATGTCAATGCCATTCCAGCAGTGGGAAGCTTTGAGTGATTCGGTGAAAACAGTAAGTTTCTCTCCAGGATGATGTGAATTTATGAAGCTCAGGCTTCCCATGGATTAGACCCACACAAGAGCTCAAGAAGTCAATAAGTAAAGGGGGGAGACCAAGAAGCTGGTAGAATCTGTATATAACTCAGTGTCCACAAACTTCTGTGAAGGAAAATTCGATGGATCAGTGCCAGAAGAGCTCATGACTGCAAGAGCTCATTGGCTGTTTGATTCAATATATACAGTCCTCATTATCATTTATTGTTTTACACATTCTGATAACTGTGCTTCTCAAGTTGCTCATATAATACTGCTGAATTTGAACCAATGCAAATTAATCTCCTCCATCTTTTTAGTTCATATCAACCTGTTCTCTTGTCAAGGCTTATGAATTCTGTAAAACACAGAGTTTGATTAATTAAAGAAAACTGTAAATTATTTTAAGCTTATTATTGTTATAGGTTCAGAGAGACTTCTTAAACCATTGTATTCTCTTTCTTCATGCTATTAAAAAAACTAAATATAGGGGCCTAGGGTGGCTCAATCAGTTGAGTGTCTGAGTCTTGATTTTGGGTCAGGTCATGATCCCAGGGTCATGGGATCCAGCCCTGCATCAATCTCTGCATTGAGGGTAGAGCCTGCTTAAGATTCTCTCTCTCTCTTTCTCGTTCTCTCTCCCTCTGCCCCTTCACTGCTCATATGCATGCATGCTCATTCTCTCTTTCAAAAAAAAAACCCTAAATATAAAAAAATAAGTATAATTACCATGTTATATACTTATTTTGTTCTTACATTGACCTTTATATATTATATAGAAAATATGATTTAAAAATTTTTCTACATTCTCAAGTATGACTTATTATCCAGCTTTTTAAAATAGGGACACTTTTCTATGACATGAGACTTAAAATACACAAGTTACTTTATTATATGTATATTTACTTATTTAAATGCAAGTTAGTTAACGTAAGTATAGTATTGGTTTCAGGAGTAGAACCAAGTGATTCATCACTTACATATAACACCCAGTGCTCATCCCAACAAGTGTCTTCCTTAATGCCCATCACCCATTTAGTTCATCCCCCACGAACTTTCCCTCCAGCAACCCTCAGTTTGTTCTCTGTATTTAAGAGTCTCTTATGGTTTGCTTCCCTCTCTGTTTTTATCTTATTTTATTTTTCCTTCCCTTCCCCTATGTTTATCTGTTTTGTTTCTTAAATTCACAAATGGGTAAAATAATATGGTATTTGTCTTTCTCTGACTGACTTATTTCACTTAACATGATACTCTCTAGTTCCATTTATGTTGTTGCAAATGGCAAGATTTCATTCTTTTTGATTGCCAAGTAATATTCCAGTGTGTGTGTGTGTGTGTGTGTGTGTGTGTGTGTACACAAATTACTTTATAGGCAAGTCTTTAGGGACATTTGATAGAATTAGTCTATAAGGGGATTCACATCTCTTAAATTACACCCCTTCAGGTCATTTAGATTTCCTTCTTAACAGTTTTTATTTAAAAAAGAAAGCAAATTGTTTTTTCACTGATAAAAGACCTATAATAGTGAGGGAGAGTCTTTGACATAATGGGGAAAACATTGCAAAACTTTCAAAGTGTATATAGTTGAAAGCCACTGTACATAAAATGTAAACTGTTTTGTTCATCTCATATTGGAATAAGTTATATATTCATGTGATTTGTTTCAAGTAGGTTAATTATTTATGAAGGATTAACCATATGATTATTGAGTATATACACAAAATAACTAGATTCTTTAAAAATGTAGTAACTACTTCACATACTCAAAAATAAGAGTTTTTTCCTTTCCATTGTGTATATCCAAAATTCCTTGTTGACACTGACTAAATAAACACTGTTCCACCATCTCCACATAACCATATTTCCATTCTCCTGAGTATGACACGTTGTAACTGCAATTGAATTAGTGACCCTTGCTATGCTAATACGTTTGGATTTACAATGTGCTTTTTTTTCTTTTTTTGATGATCTACTGAACTCTGTTATTTAATTTTAACCACTAAAATCAAATTAGCTGTGGATTTTTCAAAAAATTTTCTCCAAATTTCTCCTTTATATTGCCAATGTCTTTCCTTTAAATGCTAATTTTCTGTCTCCAAACATGTCATTTCTGCCTTGAATTTAGGTTAACTATGGACTGTTTGAAGTCTTACAATACAATATAATATTTTATTTTATTTTTTGTTTTTATTTTTCTTAACGTTTATTTATTTTGAGAGATTGTACGTGTGTATGAGGCAGAGAGAGAGGGAGGGAGAGAATCCCAAGCAGCCTCCACACTGTCCCCGCAGAGCCTGGTGCAGGGGTCTATTCCACAAACTGTAAGATCATGACTTGAGCCGAAATCAAGAGTCAGATGCTTAACCGACTGAGGCACCCAGGCACCCCACAATAATAATATTTTAGATATTACTGGCTGAATCATTTGTCTTGTCAGCAAAATTGAAACAGTATGCTGAGCCAGTATATGGTTTGAGATTTTTTTATTAATGGAACAAAAATGATAAGATGCATATCTTTTTGCTTTAAATCAACGGTGATATTTTTTTCATGTACAGTCCTCTTAGGGCTAAACCTTGTTGTTTTCCTTAAAAAAACTTTTTGTAATGTTTATTTATTTTTGAGAGAGAAAGACAGCGTGAGCAGGGGAGGGGTAGAGAGAGAGGGGACACAGAATCTGAAGCAGGCTACAGGCTCCAAACTGTCAGCACAGAGCCAACGCGGGGTTTGTGAGTCGAACTCACAAACCGCGAGATCATGACCTGAGCCAAAGTCAGACGCTTAACCTACTGAGCCACCTAGGTACCCCTAAACCTTGTTTAGGGTGCTTGCTTTTGTTTCTCTTCCTCAGTGAATCCCCTATATCAAGTTTCACATGTTTCGTAACTCATTTAATAGACTTTCTAACTATTTCCTCTCATTCTTTTCTGTTCTAATCCTTACAGTCTTTACGTGAAAGCCTCATCTGTGTATAGTTGTTGCTTTCGATGTGCATGCATTTCATTTGTTCATCCTTTCACATTCACCGTGTAGAAGAATTAACAACAATTATCATGCTAATATTGTTCACCTTCTAAATAGACCATTGTCTCTCCTTTTGTAGATAAACATCACCATTAGGCTAGTTGGGTTAGGTATGTTACGTATGCCATCTGACAATAAAATGATTATAACTAAAGGTTTAAATTTTAGGTGACATTTAGCTAAAACACATCTGCATGTTTGCTTGCCCTATACATTTATAGATTGTTAAATCCCATAAAACCCCTACCCTTTACATCACCAACCCTGTGTTTCTGCTTTTTATGTAAACAATACAATCCCTCTGGATAGGATAGAATTGGTGGGAGTAATATTAGTCTGATGTAGGACTTGAACCCAAGAACTGTGACATCATGACCTGAACCAAAACCAAGAGTCAGATGCTTAACTGACTGAGCCACCCGGGTACCCCATGTGATATGGGTTTTATTTTTAAAATTTTTTTTAACATTTTTTATTATTTATTTTTGAGACAGAGAGAGACAGAGCATGAACAGGGGAGGGGCAGAGAGAGAGGGAGACACAGAATCTGAAACAGGCTCCAGGCTCTGAGCTGTCAGCACAGAGCCTGACGCGGGGCTCGAACTCACGGACTGTTAGATCATGACCTGAGCCGAAGTCGGATGCTTAACCGACTGAGCCACCCAGGTGCCCCGATATGGGTTTTAAATAAAGGGATATGGGGAGAGGTCTTCAGTTATCCCAGCCTTTGGGTCTTGGGGTAATCTGAAAACAGAGACCTTTCTAACTGAAAGGATCTTAGGGAAATTCACTGCTGTGATGCTAAATGGTTTTACCCCAAGGAATCCAGGATATGAATGGTTCTCCCTCTAGTTCTGAAATACATGGCAGATTGGCTTTAGAGTGGCTGTGGGAAAATGGTTGCAGCAAAGCTACAATCAAAATAAAGTGCTGGGAAAAATTCTTATAAACTGTTGTAACTGTCATGTCATATCCATTGCTATACATTTTATAAAGAGTTAATGGAAACAGATTTTTAGTGAATTGATTGTTTGACAAATTGATTACTTCTGGGAGAGCTTGTTGGGACTGCCAGTTACCCTCACGTGGGTCTATTTGTCTACTGATTGTTTCTGGGTTCCTGGGCTCAGCGCGGTGCCCTTGTGGTGAGTCCAGTTGGTTACAGACTACTAGGGAAGCTTCCTATTATGCCTGGGTGGCTAGGCATCAGATGGGAAACAGTGTGCAATTCAGCACCTTCTGAGCCAGTTTAGAAGGCAGCCTGTTCTAATTGAACATTATACAAAAGCAGAGATTATATGCAAACTTATGCTGCCCTCCAGTCTGTCTATATATCTATATATGTAACTATATTTTATGTATATGCATATGAATATACATATATTTATGTATCTATATTTGGATATATATATATTTACCTTTTAATAGAGTTGAGATCATGCTATTAATGACCACTAATGACCATTGTGGCCTATTATTCATTAACACCATGCCATCAATACTCCCAATTGTATCAAAAAGTTGTGATGAACAGATTTATCTAAAAGATTCCAAGAAGGGGGGCGTCTGGCTAGCTCAATCTGTATAGCATGCGACACTTGATCTCAGAGTTGTGGGTTCAAGCCCCATGTTGGGTACAGAGTTTCCTAATAAATAAATAAATAAATAAATAAATAAATAAATAAATAAAAAGGTCCCAAGAAGGCATTTTACCCCTTTGCACTTTCCCTTTCTTCTTGTTGAGGTGCTTCTCCTGGCTCCTTCCTGTGAGGTCAATGTTAGTGCTCCTGAGAGAGGAGATAAGAAATTGTGG